CAGCGTCAATGTCCCTGTCAGCTTCCCCAGCCCGATGGTTCACTAGTGTAAATCGGTACTTTCCAAGTTTTAGCTCATGAGAATGTTGTTTTGTTTTGTTTAACTGCAGATTCCAGGACCTCTCTAGGAGTCTGCGTCTGGGCTGTGATTTGCATGTCAGTCCTGGCTCATATCTTCAGAAACCCTGGTCTATGTCAGAATTCCACAATTTTGGCATCTACCCTTGATGATTTGTTCAGCTTCTGAAAGAGAGAAGAAAAGGAAGTTGAGGCAGGAATGCCAGGGCTGTCTTTCTGTGGTTGCAGAGTCTGGAGAGGCGGTTGGAGGGTGGTGCTGGCGACAGCAGGGACTGGGATGCCCCAGAGGGGTCCAGTGACCTGGGGGGGGGGTCCTACCACCCACAGCACGCCCGCTCCCTCCCCTCGCAGTGGAAGGCCATGGGCATGTGGCAGCACCGGGCACATAATTAGCAACACCCTTGTTCCCAAACTGCTAAGCATTTCAAGACGTGACAGCAGAGCAGGAATTTAAGCGTGACTCCCTCTGCGTGTGGGGCCCGTGCAACCCGGGGACTGCGCCCCTGGCAGGCTCTGTAGGCGTCGTGGTGAGTGGGCGGGGACCAGGCTGAAACCCTGAAATGAAACCAGGCGGGTGAGTACTCAAGGAAGAAGGGTCCTTATAGCGTGGCTCAGTCCCCTCCATGTCTGGTTGTCCAAGCTCGCCCTGCAAACTGGTGGCAGAGTGAGATCAGAACGCACCCGAGACCCTCCCTCTGTCCCTCTCCATGTCTGTGCTTTCCCTAAGTGGTCGCATCCCACGCAATGTCTTTCGAAACCGTGCACGTGCTTATCCTCAGCTCCCCCCCACCTTTGTCCCCCCAGCTCCAGCCTCCTGTGTCCAGCCGTCCCCAATGGCAGCGGCCTCTTGCTTCCTCTTCTCCCTACCCCCTCCCCTACCTTCCTCCAACCCCCCCCCACCCACACACACACACACACACAGCCACCAGAGTGTGTTTCCAATCTGTGCGCTGGATCCTGGCCTGCCCTGCTCTCGCCTCAGGCGCTGCACGCGGATCGCCTCCCAACCTCCTCTCGGTGGCCTAGAGCTCAGCCCCGTGGCTTCTCCATGGCCGTCTGCCTTTCTCTCTGCTGCCATGGGGACGGGGGTCCCTGGCAGGGGACACCTCCCTTCTTGCTGTGGCTCACATGCACCCAGCTCAAGTCCGCCTTGCGTGCTGGGTCCCTCTCCCCGGGACAGTCTTCCCCTGTCCCCCCTCTGGCTCCCTGTCCCTTAGGTCGTGTCTCAGCTCACAGGCTCCTCCCCAGAGAGGGCCTCCGTGCAGGCTGTGCGCAATACACCCGCCACTCGCTAGCCGCTGCCTTCTTCATTTTCCTCCATACCAGCGATCCGCATAGTTGCTCCTTACTTTCACCCTCTCTCGCCCTGCTCGCTGCTCCCTTGCTCAGGGCCTCGCATGGGGCCTGGCACGTAACTGGCGCTCTATAAAGAATTGTTGTAGGAATGAATAAATCAGTAATCAAACACATTCACTCAGCAAACACATGTTCAGAGGCTGTTCCGTGTCAGGGGCTGTGCCAGCACCGAGAACTTGGACGTGGAGCAAGTGGACGAGGAAGGGCCCCTGCCCGCAGGGAGTCAGATCACCACCTTGGGGACAGCCGATCTGTGTTTGCAGGAGCCTCAGAGTGACAGAGTGGCTGGTCTAGGCTGAGTCTGAGCCCGGCCAACAAGATGGGGTGAGGGTGGAAGATCCGTGGGTCTTTGCAGCAATGAGTTGAATTTTAGGGACCGTCAATGTCCTTTTTCTGAAGAGCTAGCGGCTCTCTGTCCCTCTGTGGTCCCAAACCCACTAGGCCAGCACGGGGGCCCATACTCACGAAGGGGGCTCTTGGGGTCCCAGCCCCCATAAGAGGTTGTGCTTAGGGGCTGGGTGTGATTCACTTCCCGCTGGTGCTAAAATCAGGAGGAAGGAGGAGCCCTCCGCGCAGAGGAAGCCGAGCCTTACCCACTGGGCATGTGGCCCAGCCTGGGCCGGCCCGGTGGGTTCCTTGGAATTCCTCAGGCCACGCCCCGGAAAACCCCAGCCTTCCCACTTCTCCTCCAGCCTTCCAGCCTCACAAGGCAGGTGGCCACAGCTTGCCACCCCCTGCAGCCCTGGCATTGTCCATTTCCTCCTTCTGGGCAGAGGGTGTGTTTGAAGCTGAAGGGCAGATGCAGGTGCCCCGGAAGCCCACCTCCTCCAGGAAGCTATCTCTGCTTTCTCCCTGGGAGTGCCTCCTTCTTTCCCTTACCCCACAGCACATACCCTCCTCCTAGTTCATTTATCCATGGATCCATCCATCTGCCCATGGAGCCAGCCAGCCCCCCACCCAACAAATGCTCATCGAGCACCTGCTCAGCTCCCAGGACTTACGTAGTGACCAAGGACGTGGTCCCGTCCTCCCGAGCTTATAGTCGGATAAGGGGAAGAGTCATTATGCAACTAACTGCAAATTAAAATTTTAACTACAGCTGTCATAAATGCTACACAAGAGAAGTACCTGAGCCCCCTTGGAGGCATTGGTGGCGGGAAGATTCCCTGAGGAAGAATGTTTCACCCAAGACCTCCCTGGCACTGTGGCAGCCAACAGCCACATTCAACTACTGAGCATCTGAAATGTGGCCAGTGCCACCGAGGCACTGATTTTTTTGTTATTTTACTTCATTGCAATTAGTTGAAGTTTAACTTTAAAAACTAAAGCAGCGTAAAATTTGATGTTGTTGTCTGTTAAACACGAGTTTATTGTTTTGGTAGGATTACAATTTTACTTTGTAGAAAATTCGAAGACTTAAAAAAAAAAGAATGTCAAATATCACAATATGTTTACATTGTTTGCATGCTGAAATGCTAGGACTTTGGATATCAGATTAAATAAATATCAGTTAAAATGAATTTCATCTGTTCCTTTTAACTTTTTTAAAATGGGTAGGAGAAGATCTAAAACCCTGTGAGTGGCTCTGTTTCTATGAGCTGAGAGAAAAGGGCATATAGGCGACAATCAGGTCCAGGAGGTGTGAAGGGTTGGGGAGGGTCACGGAAACTCACATTTATCAAGCTCCTATTCTATGCTTAAAACTCCAGACTTTGTATGTATGAGACCCAGTCACCAGGCAGACACCACTTGCCTCTTGTTACAGATAAAGAAACAGGGGCTCAGAAAGTTCAAGAAACTTGAGCGTGGTGGGTGTGATGGTCGAAACTTTGAACTTTGCAGGAGTGCCTGCTTGAACTGGTTTGCTTTCTTTCTTTCTTTCTTTTTAAATTGAGACAGAGTCTCACTCTCTGTTGCCTGGGCTAGAGTGCTGTGGCATCAGCCTAGCTCACAGCAACCTCAAACTCCTGGGCTCAGGTGATCCTCCTGCCTCAGTCTCACAAGTAGCTGGGACTACAGGCATGTGCCACCATGCCCGGCTAATTTCTTTCTATTTTTAGTAGAGACAGGGTCTTGCCCTTGCCCAGGCTGGTCTCGAACTCCTGAGCTCAAGCAATCCTCTTGTCTTGGCCTCTCAGAGTGCTAGGATTACAGGCATGAGCCACTGCGCCCAGCCTGAACCAGTTTTATTTCTGAATGCTGCTTTCAACTCGGCTCTGTGAAATTTCTCCTTCCTGCCCCCTCTGTTCTCTTAAGCACAGCCCATCATTTCTGGATACCTTGCAGAAAGGTTCTGCTCTATAATTACTGAACAAATGGATGATGATGGATGAATAATTTCATCAAACTTTATGAAACAGCTATTCTGTGTCAGCCCCTGTTTAAGACTTAGCCCAAACCAGGCTGGTTGAAAATGCCAACATTATGTCTAGTGCAGCGCCCACTTCCTCCCCTTGCTCCAGCACTGCCGCCCAAGTCCCTGCCGAGGGATCTGGAGAGGGGGAGAGGCGAGGTGTTCTTTCGTTCGTCCTTCCTTCCCTGAATCGGGCCCCTTCTGTTCTCTTCTGCGTTGGGGTCTGGAAGGGGAGACCCAGCACCCAACAGTGCTGTTGACTAGGGCTGGAATCTGGAGGCCAGCTGCCTCCTGGGGCACAGGTGTGATCCCTAGGAGGGCCCTGCATGCATGCATGTGTGCATGTATGTGTGTGTGTGTGCATGCGTGTGCTGTGGGGGCGTCTCTCACGCACAATCTGACCCAGGCTCACAGCTCCCATGCTGCAGCCTCTTGCTGCTGGGCCCCCGGCCAGTGGCCAGCCCTCTTGAGTGGGCCAGAGACAGGCGGCTCTAGGCTTGGCCACCCTCCTCAGTGGGGGCCCCTCTAATGACCTCACCCCCTTGCCACTCCACATGGAGGAAGCCCCGGCCGCTGTCCTGCCGCCCGCCTCTCTCCCCCTTGCTGGCTCTTCTCAGTTCCCCGCTCCCCTGCTCAGCGTGCATCGAGGTGGGTCGGGAGACACCCAGGACAAAGGGACCCAGCCTCCTCCTCCTGCAGGCACCCTGTCCTCTGGGAGGCACCTTCCTGGAGCACTTTGCCTGGCTGGGTGTTGGGGGTTTGTGAGGGAGGGAGGAGGTTCCCTAACAGTCTGCCCCAGGCTGACCACGCCCCTCAGTTAGCCGAGTGTACAGGCCCCGGGGAGGCAGGGTGTCTGTACAGGCCCCTGGGAGGCGGGGTGTCTGTACAGGCCCCGGGGAGGCGGGGTGTCTGGGGAGCTCGAAGCTCAAGGCGGGGCATCAGAGCCCGTCAGCGCCCAGCCAAAGGCGGCAGACGCCTCCCCGGCTGGAGGCCTCAGGCCTGGAGGTTTGGGGTTTGGGAGGAGGCCTTGGCCACAGTGGCCACTTCTCTCCCTGTGGCTCAAACCTCGGCTCCAGGCCTGGTGGGGGCGGGGCAGGGCTGGGCGGCTGGGAGTATAAGGGCCGCTCCAGGCTGTTGGGAAACCAGGCAGTGGCCCCTGGGCTCATGCAGAGCCTCATCCAGGGGTTGTTGCCCAGCACGGACCAGGGACCCTGTGAGCCTGTCACCATGACCGCCACACCTGGGCAGGCCCTGGGCACCCTCCTGCCCACCCTTCTGCTGGGACTCACAGGTGAGTCCTGAGTCCTGACCACAGAGACTCTCGGAGCAGGCGGGGAGACCCTCAGGGATTACTGAACCCAGCACCTGTGTTCCAGGTGGGAGACTGAGGCCTGGAGAACCTGGCCGGGCCATTCTCCTGCCTGCCAGGTGCTGTCGTGCATCTTGTCCTCAACACAGACTTCACGGGAAAAGGGAGCTTGGGGGTCAGAGGAGGGTGTGACACACGTGCGGGGCTGGGTGGGGGTCAGGGGCAGAGAGGAGCCCATCTCCTGCCCAGCTTCCCTGCTGCCAGCTCTGGTCTGGGTGGCCACAGGTCCTGCGTCAGGTGTGAGGGGTGGAAAGACAGAGAGAAAGACACCTGGGCGACAGGGCCTCTGTGCCACGCACAGGAAGAGTGCTCCGCTCGCTGACTCAGACAGACCACCCCCCGCCACCACTGACAGCCGCGCAACCTCCAGCAAGTCACTAAACCTCACCCAGTCTGTTTCCTCTTCTGGAAACTGGGGACAATAATGCTATTAATAGCATCCCACAGCTGGGATATGGATGAACATGAGCCCACACACCTGGGCATTTTCTAAAGCACAGGCTGCTGCATGCAGGCAGGGTGATGAGAACATAGCATGCAAAGGGACCAGAGCTGTGTGCTAAGAGGACAGGCTGCCCTCTGTCCCCTGGCACCTTGTGTTCTCCTTGCTGGTATATTTGTCTGCCCCTCCCCCAACACACAGATGCTCCTCGAGGGCAGGGTCCTGTCTGACTCATCTCTGTGACCCCAGCACCCAACTCACGACCTGGTGCAGAGCAGGGGCTCAGGGGATGCAGTGAGGACGTGGACAGGTCCCTGCTCTAGATCTCTGCAGGGCTGTCCTCGGGAGGAGGGACGAGTCTCATTCCATGGTTTTCTTGGGATAACTCTAGCAGGTAGGCCCCAGGTTAGAAGCAGGGAGTGTTTTGTCATAGTCTAAGCTACACAAGGGTGAATGAAGCTGCCTTGGGTGGCGAGAGCTCCCCGTCACTGGAGGTGAGCAAGCAGAGGATGCACACTCATGGAGGTGTTGAAGGGAGGAACCCAAGCAGGAGACCAGCCATCCCTGCTGCAGTGACCTTTGACTTCACACTCCAGTCATCGTAAACTTATGTCCAAATGGAAATCCTGAGTCTTCCCCATACCCTTCCTATCCCAGCTCAGTCCTTCCCCAGTTCTCCCCATCTCAAAAAGTAGGCCGCCCTCCTCCCCGCTGCTCTGGAGAAAACCTGGGACTCACGTATCCATCATTCTCTGTCCCTCATCCCTCAAGCCCATCCTGTCCATCACCACGTCCAGTGGGCCCTTTGTTCCACTTGCGTCCCAGCCCCTCCCCCTTCCTCACCACCCTGGTCCAGGCCACGGTCAGCTGGGCCTGGAGGCCAGCGCCAGCCTCCCGCTCCCGCTCCCAGGCCTGCCCCAGGTATCTTCTAGAACATGTACATCAGACCACCGCGCCCCTCTGTTTAAAGTCTCAGCACTGTCCCATCACACTCAGAATAGAATCAAGATCGTCACCATGTCCCACAACGCTCTTCTCAACATAGACTTCTGTGTCATGACGTCGAAGTCCTACAGACCTCTCGGTTTCTCCTGCCCCAGGCTCTTCTCACCGGCTGTCCCTGCCATCTGGAATGTCCTTCCTCTGCCCCTTCCCATGGCCGGCTGCTATTCATTCCTTGGTTTCAGCTCAAAATGCCACCTCCTCAAGGAAGCCTTCTCTGACCACCCTTCTAGAATAAGTTCTTCCTGTATTGTCTATCTCTGCACTCTTTGGCTTTCCTAGTGGGCACTGCGACCCGGTTATAATCACACTCATGTTCGCTTGCTTACTTGTTATTGTGTGTCCATATGTTCTCTGAGGTTGGAAGCAGACAGGGCACGCAGTAGGTCCGCAGGGCCTGCCAGATCCCTGGCGCCGCCCACAGACTGTTGCGTGTTGGACGCGTTCCACTCGCCTTGTGCAGTCACAATCGCTCTCTATCCCAGCTGGGCAGCCCTTCATCTCTCTGACGGGCCCGTCTCAGAGGACAACCCCTGGAGATTCGGTGCTTTTCAACTGTACTGCCGGCCCCTTCGGCTCCCAGGACTTCAACGTCACCTGGTTGAAGGACAGCTATGAACTCCCAGCCTCAGCTCAGCACCCGGTGACTGATGAGCAAGGCAATTTCTCCATCACCAGCAAGGCATGGGTGACACTGGCCCAACAAGACGTCTCAGCCAAGGTCGCCTGCAACGTCACCCACAGGACCCTGAAGGATCCCCTACAAGCGACCATGAATCTCTCCCAAGTGCTCCGAGGTGAAAGGGCAGTGGCACGGGGTGGGGGCTGGCTCAGGCAGCATCAGCTTCCAGGCTTTTCGCCTAAAGCTCAACTTCACAAACAAGGACCCAGATTCCTCATTGCCACCCTGATCACACATACAGTGATTGGAACGCAGGTTCCAGAAGCCCAGAGTTTGGGCTTCAATCCAGCACAAGTTGTGTGATCTTGCAAATTACTTGACTATTTGGTGCCTCAGTTTCCTTGTAAAATGGGAAGGAAATTAAGACCGACGGGCTTATGGGAAGGTGAAATGTATGGGCTTCCTGAGAAGATTAAATGAGTCATTCTTTATAAAGGATCTAGAACAGTGCCTGGCACGCAGTGAGTAACTTATGAATGTTTGGTCTTCTTGTTATGACCTGGCGCCAGTGTCCCTTTCCAACAACTTGTTCTATTAATATCATTGTTATTGTTTTGGATTTTAAATGTTTATTATTCATTCAACAAATAAATGAATATCCATTGTTTGCCAGACACTGCTGTCCGTGCCAGGGATACAGCAACAAGCAAAATAAGGCTCCTGTCCTCATGGGCATTGCATTTTGATAGTTCTTAGGAAATATTTCAAACTACAGAGAATTATATATGGGACACCACACTGTGTACCCCTACCCATATTTAATGAATACTAACATTTAGGCGGATTTGCTTTACATTCAGCAAACAAGAAAAAAATATTTCTTTAAAAAGAGTGAGAGATCCTGAGTCTGGTCCCTGGGAGAGGGAGACACAGGCAGCCGCAGGCAGGGGCTGATTTCGCCAGCTCTTACCTTCTCTTCCTCTGTCTAGTGATCCCCACTGTGAGGATCACCACCCAGGCCTCTGGGACGCACGTCCGCGTGCAAGAGAGAGTGAACCTCACCTGCCACGCCAGCCACTTCTACCCCGCCTCCCACCTGCATCTCACCTGGATGGAGAACGGGCACACGATCCAGACCGTGAAATCCCCCCGGGTCACTGGAAACCCCGACGGGACGTACTCGCTGGAGCACACGCGGCAGGCGGAGGCCACGCTGGAGGGGAGCGAGTTTGCCTGCTGGATCGTCCAGGACGAGCAGCCCCCAGTCAAGGCCAACGTCACCCTGCGAGCTCAGACGCCCAGGCGCGTGCAAGGTGGGTGCAGCCTCTGGCCCAGCCCTCTGGGCAGCAGGGCCGGAGAGGGTGGAGACTCAGGTCAGCGCGGGATGCAGGATGCGGGTAAGGAAGGGAAGGGCCCTCGCTCCGTCCCCCACACCCTCCCCCAGAAGCAGCAGTGGGACTCCCCTTCCCCAGTTCCACGCGCTCTTCATGCTGGGAGTTCTCCACCTGACACTTGGCTGCAAGGAATGGCAGAGATTAAGGGCTGCCCGGCACCAAAATCCCTTCTGGGGAGGCTATTAACCAAGACTGGTTCAGTTGGAAGTTTCTGGAAGTCAACTTTAAGGAGAGTCCAGAATCCTTGACTCAGCTGGGAAAGAGGGTTGATGCAGGTCCTCACATAGGATGGGTGCAGCTCCTCCTCCTCCTCTTCCTTCCTTTTTCTCCTTCCCCTCCTCAGATAATTTTCTCCACAAGGGGGCGCTGCCCGCTGGCAGTTCAGGCCCCGAGGGTGGCACGCTGCTTTCCTTTGGTGCAGCTCGGACCAGTTTGGGGGGATGCATAGCTGGCACCGAGGGGGACAGGTGTGAGGTGGACCGTGGAGGGTGTATTATGATTGGCCAGGCCTGGGTGAGCCAGGGGAAAGCCAGGTATCCAGAGCCACATGGAGCGGGAAGGACAGCTCCCCTGGGAAGCGTGGCTGTATGCACGTGTATTCCAGTTCTGGCCAGGCAAAACCCAGCCCAGCTTCGCGACAGGGCCCTCCACCCTGTCTCTATCTCTCCCCGACAGGACTGGCCTTTATTTGGCTGCTGTAAGAACCCTCGGGGGGATGATCCCGCTTGGCTTTACATTTCTCCATGCTCTTTTTTGTTGTCCAGCAGAAATGAGAAAGACGTTCACCCAGCAGGATACATGGGTGTGCGTGAAAAACCCCAAGCGGGCCCTTCTCATCAGAAGCGAGTGCAGTATTTCTTTATTGACTCACGCTGAGTTTTTCCCCTGTCTTATTTTTCTCCTGCATGCAGCGCGTACCTGGCCCACAGCTGCAAGATTAACCCCCTGGGAGCATCCCTTCCAGTCTCGGCTTCCCTGCAGCTCTGTCGTGCCCTGCGGTCTGCAGGAGGAAGGGCGGCCCCCTTGTCTGGCATTCAGGCCCCTTTCTATTGGGTGTTAACATACCCTTGGAGCTGTCCCTCCCCCACCTGGCCCATGACAGCCCCCATCAGCACCCCGCCCCCCTCGCCTCTGTTCCTGCTGGCTGGCACCCACAGAGCACCCACTGTGCACCCAGGTCATCTGATCCTATGGCAGAGCCCAGAGAGCTAGTGGGGGGATCACAGTCTCAGACGTGTCAAATAGCAGAGCTGGGACTAGAACCCAGGGCTACTTTGTTCACAAATTTAATGAGTTTGTCTATATTTTTCTCTCCTATCCTGCCTGAGAATACAGACCTTAGTGTTATCTCAAGTCTTTTCTCAAATATCCGTCTTAAACGTCCCATTTCTGATATATATTTCTTCCTGGACTGCGCAGACATATCTGTCTATACCATTCAGTTCTCACAATCGGCACTTCAACCTCGAGGCCTCCGGAAAGCCCAGGACCTGGGGTTTTATCCCACTGACACCTTCCTCCGTGATTAGACTCTCACATCCTTAAAGCAGGGACTGCCTCTTCTGTTTGGAGGTGGCCAAGCTTTGGCGTCAAACGGAACAAGATCCCGAGGCAGGGCTGTCACTGCTCAGCCGCGGGATGTCAGGAAAAACAATTCCCTTTCTGAGTGTCCTCATCTGTGCCGTGACAATTGCTATAGCCACCTCGAGAGGCCCTGGTGAGGAGTCCCTTCCTTGACTGCTGCCTGGCGTCTGGACAGTGGGGCCACAGTGACTGCCTGCAGTGACTGCTCGCAGTCCCGTGGTGCCTGGCCCGGAGCTGGGCTGAGAGTGGGACAATATTCAAGACCACTGATCCGTGCACAGCCCACTGTGCAGAAGTACAGGCGGGAGCTGTGATGTAACAAAAAGGCCCTTAATTTAGAGTCAGAACTCCTGGCTTGCAATGTCAGTTCTGTTCACTGTGAGGCCCTTGGGTGAGTCACTAGCCCTCTCTGAGCCTTTTCTTTCTCTGTTGACATTAAAAATATGATTAATAACAATCCCTCAGATGATCACTGTGAGTATACGATGCTGACAGTTCCCATTTCTAGAGTGCTTCCTACTCTACACTAGTTAGTTTACTTAATTTCTTAACTGAGAATGAAGAATCATCCTCATTACACAGATGAGGAAACCGAGGCTTAGAGAGGTGAGTTGCCCCGGCTCCAGGTGAGGAGCTGGGAATGCACACTTGGGTTGAGCAGGACTCCAAGGCTGGTGTGTGAACCTCTCTCCGAGACCTGGCCTCTGAGCAGTGAGGTGCTCTTCCTTCTTCAGGGCCTGAGGGCGGGGTTGAGGGGTGGTCAGGGGCACAGACCCTAGGGCCAGGCTGCCTGGCTAAGAAGCCCAGCTCTGCCACTGACCAGCTGTGGACTTTAGACAAGTTACCTAGCTGGTCTGAGCCTCAGTTTGCTTGTCTGTGAAATGGGGATAGCAACAGCTCCTAGGGGTATTGGAGAACTCAGTGAGTTAGGGAAGAGCCCAGCAATTGTGGTAAATGTGACATGGGTGTTTGATTTTTGCCATGTGGTGACAGCAGGTGTCGGCCTCCTTACAAACTGCTGTGGTCCCAGTAGTTTCATTGTCAGGCCTCTGAAATCAGCTTCAGAAAGTAGCTTCTACCAGAAAGTAACCTTTAAACCGGGCGTCCTCAAACTACGGCCCGCGGGCCACATGCGGGTGTTTTTGCCCATTTGATTTTTACTTCAAAATAAGATATGTGCAATGTGCATAGGAATTTGTTCATAGTTTTTGTTAAACTATAGTCCTGCCCTCCAACGGTCTGAGGGACAGTGAACTGGCCCCCTGTTTAAACAGTTTGAGGACCCCTGCTTTAAGCCCTATGGAAAAGCAATGGGGTTCTTGCCGCAGACGCTGAGGGTTTGTTCACACTGGGATTCGGCCAGGCACGGCTGTGCCCTCTTATGGGAGGGTCTCTCCCTGCAGGCAGGCGCCCCCACCCTTACAGCTTGCAAGGCCCCCCGCAGCGATCTGAGCCCGGCACCAGCATCCGACTGACCTACACAACGTCCGGGTTCTCCACACGTCACGTGACTGTGACCTGGCTTAAAAACAAGCACGAGCTCCCCAAGTCCCAGACCAGCGTCCGCCATAGTGGACACACCTACAATGTGACAAGTAGTGTGCTGGTCCCGCTGAAGAATGAGGATGTGTCCTCCTACGTTGTGTGCCTCGTCGAGCACAATTCAACACTGTTTTTCCAGAAAACCATCAGCCTGGACCAGTACCTCCGTGGTAAGATCTTCCTCTTTGCTTGGCCAAGTTGGTACAGGGTTGGACTGTGGTCTTCTCAGAGCCTCAGTTTCCTCATTGAAAAGTGACACATCTCTCACTTGGCCGTGGCAAGGATTCAGTGAAATATTACCTGTAAACACAGGTGTTATTACCTTAACCCTTTGCACTCACTTGCTTTTTTCTCATTATCCACACTCGACATCCGAGTGCAAAGGGTTTTAACACAGTGCTTTGCTCATACTAACCACCCAGAAGTGGCCATTGTTGCTGTTAATTATTATTATTGTTATTATTCACATTGCCTCTCAGAACTCACTTCTCTTGTCTGGAGACAGAATATTTATCTTCTGGGAATTTAATTTCATTATTAGTATTTTATCTAAAGAAGATTTGTAGGGCTTTAAGAACTTCTAAATTTTAGGGACTGTGATGTCTTTAGATTATTACTTATACCTGGGTATGAGCCTAACTTTTCTATTGATTTTCCTCGATTGTGCACCAATGCTTGGCAGATCTCTGAATTCAGAGAGGTCACAAGGTATCATGCCCAGAAGGAATCTTAATAATCATCCCATTATAATAATGACTCCAAAGCCCAGAGAAGGCAAGGGAGTGGTCTAAGGCTGCATAGCAGTAAAATTAATTCCTTAAATGTGCATTTGACTTTCAAATCTACAAAATGTGTTTTATAAAATCTGTTTTTCTTAACTGAAAATAGGGGGATAAGTGTGTTATTATCATGGAAGTAAACACATCCTTTTATATTGATATTAATGTCTTGAATGAGCATGGCAGAAAGGTAGTAGAGCACATTTTTGTGGGTTGACTTATTTAACAACTTCCTCACTCTTACTTGACAAACTTCCCTGTACTGTTCGTCCCATTCATGGCTTACAGAAGGAAACTGAGGTTCAAAGAAGTGAAGCGGCTTGGGTTGCAAAGCTGGCGAGTGAGAGACCCTGGCACGACCTCCAGCTTCCAACTCTGCTCTGTCTCCCAGCTGTGGGGCCTCTCGCAAGTTGCTTATGTTCTCTTGTCTTCAGTATATTTGGCTGTAAAATAGGAAAATGATAGGCCATGAGGTCTTCCTTATCTGAGGATGTATTATGTCATTCCCTGGTGCTAGGACAATTGTGTAGAGAAGCAAAAGTCATAGCAAATAGAAATACTCCCAAGTTAATTGGTTGCTTATAAAACTAGCTCCCACTGAAAACCCGTCCCTACTCAACACCTCATGTGTCTTGGATTGTGTCTCCTGTCATAGAAATGTCTTTGTGGGTGTCTTCATTTGGGTTTCCCTGAAAGCAGAGCCTGGAACCAGGGCATGTGGGCAGGCAGCTGGGAGGTGACACTGAGAGGTTGGGGTGGTGGAACAGAGAGAAAGAGACAGGGAAGGGGGACAACAAAGCCAGGGTGAGTTATTAAGCTGGGGGCCCTCTGAGTACTGTGTAGACTGTGTCTCAGGGTTGCCCTGTGACAGAGGGGAGGCTGGGATGTGCATGGACCGGGTGGCATTTCATGGCTCTAGCAAAATCCGAGGCAGAGAGGTAGGAAGGTGTTTGGGGAACTTGGGGTGGGACTTAGCGTGAGTGCAACTGTCCAGCACTTTCGCCCTGAGACCAGGTGGCGGGGGAGGTGGTGTGGAGCCCAGAAATCCTCTGCTGAAGGAGGTGGGTCTTGCCTTGATTGGAGTATGGCAAACATCAGACCGTACCCCGCAAACAGAATTCACATCCATTGCAAAGTGCAATTGGAGGCCTTGCAAAAGTTGTATTTCCAGAAGTTGATGCAAATGATATTGGGGAATTGCTGGGATCCCAGGCAAAGCCTTTGAACAGCCAACAATGGAAGAGAAGGAAAAATCTACGATGATGACAATGTACAGGGCACTTCAGAAGAGGACACTTTGATGAAAAGAGGCCCCTGTGAAAATTGCTAAAACACTCAAATAATTTCAAATACATTTTCAAAATTACCTTTAAATGATTGGGCTGGTAGTGTGAAATTTTAAATGAAAGATTTGTTGGTACTATAGTATTAGTTTTGGGGAAAAAAATTATGCCAGCTTCCTTCCACTCCCAATACTTGTTCCTTCTGAGAGTTGGTGCACAGTTGCAAGGATATTCTGTATTTACATAAAAATATAAATTAAATAAAATTACTCTTATAATTTAAATGGTTTTGAAGATGAGGTTTCATCCAATTGTTTTTTGAAAATTTCTATGAAATTGGGGCCTGATTTTGCATGGGTCCCTTCTAAGTGGTGCCCCCCCCCCATACCAAGTAGCTTTCAGTGTTTACCTTATTTGGTTTTGTGAGAACTAAATAAGAAAACACATGTGCACACATTGCCTCAAACACTGCCGTTCAGTGCACGGAAGCAGTTGTCACTAGCTGTGCCCAAGCCCCGTCCTCCTGACACTGCCCCGGACACCATACAGCCAGGAGAGCTCCCTGGTGGCTGGAATGGGCCACTTGAGCCTGTCATCCTTTTTCTGGTCTTTGCGACTCTTTACAGCCCATGGCACTTGCTAGGTGGCATCTTACCCTAGCCTGTTCTCCACGGGCACTGCCCCGTTGCCAGGCCTTCAGCATCCTGAAAGGAGTCCCCCTTTCTCAGGTCTTGCTCTTTGCTTGGTGAGACCCGTGTGCCGTGCCCGTGTGCAGAGAAGGAAAGACTGAGCACAGGAAAGGAGTTCCGGGGCGGTGCCGTGCCGTGGCTGTCCAACCCATCAGCGACAGCATTTATAGGATTTTACAAGTCTGGCTGGGTTGAGGATGAGAAAAGGATATTTTGGGATCAGACGCTCATAGCCCCTTCAAATTGCACTAAGTAAGGAGTTACTCTCTGTACCCTAGACCAAGAGCTGAAATCCGTCTTAATTAGACTTACAGAACTGATCTGACCCTAGAGGATTTCATAATTTCTGGAAACAGAGGGAAAGTGACTTGCACAAGTTCTTGCAGTTGGCTATGGTATCAGTGTAGGAACCAAAATCCAGATCCTCCAGCCCTTAGAGCTGTTAGAGCTGTACCATGTTGTGTGTTCATATGAAATCTACTGAAATATTTAATGTTTTATGAGATTGTAAATTTCTCCAATTTTCTCCATTGTGGATGCATTTGACTGTATAGTTGAAAATCTGGTTGAAAAAAATTCTAGAAGTAAGTAGATCATAATTTCACAAGCCTAGAATCATAAATGCTTATAGCCTTATAGTCTGGGTGTCAGAATAGCAGAAAAGTAAAACATACTATTTCTGGTGTGATCCAAGCGTTGCCACTTGTGACCTTGGGCAATCTACTTAACCTCTCTAAACTGAAGTTCCTTCCTATGTAAAATCTTAGCATCATGGATGCTAAGACTTAGAGTCTATGAATCTTCAAACCTTAGAATTATCTAGTCATAGAGCGGGTCAAATGATTTGTAGCTTTTTCGATGGAATTCATACCTCATCTTTTTACCTTTAATGGCCAAAGTGAAAAAGAATAGGATGGCTTTCATCAATCCCTTTCATTTTTCCATCCATCCATCCATCCATCCATCCATCCATCCATCCATGCATTTCATCCATTCACACTCTCATTCAATCATGTATTTCCCATGCATGCATCTGGTAACCAATACTTAAATCTTCCCCTGCGGCAGGCCCTGGGCTATACAGTGGGCAGACGAGCCCATCCTCAAGGAGCTCCCAGGATCCCACAGTAATTGTTTTCTCTGGGCTTTGCCAGTTCCCCCTGCAGTGACAGTGTCCCAGTCTTCCACCTCCTCCAGCTTGGTGCTGGCTACCTGCCACGTGCAGAGATTCTATCCACAGAGTGTGCAGCTCATCTGGCTGGAGGACTGCCATATGCTCAAAGGAACTGAGCAACCCACATCCAAGAAGAATGACGATGGTTCCTACACCCTGGAAGCCTTGCTGCTGGTGAACGCGTCGGTGCAGGGGGCCGAGCGGGTGCTCACCTGCGTGGTGCAGCAGGAGACGCAGCCTCCCATCCGGGCCAGCCTCATACTGTCCACGGCAGCCCATGCCACATATAAGTCCGTTGGGAGCCCAGGTACGTTCACCTCTTCTCCCGTGGCCACCTGGAGCCATCTGTATCCCGAGTGTGTTCCAGAAGGCACAGGGAGGAGAGGAAGCTTGATTATTATTGAGATCTTGTCCAAGCCTGTGATTCCTTAAATAGCCAGAATGGTCTCTGGCCAGTGGCTTCCTTTATATGTGGCCATCCTGAAAAGTTCTTTCATTTCTGGGGAAAGAATGTTCTCCTGGCCCTCAAACTCTTTGAAAATTCCCCAACGAGAGTTCAGCTTAGTGTGCTCACTTACTGGTGACTCGGTGGTGGCTGTCAGCAGGGCTTCCTTGTTGGAAGCCTTGTTTGTCTGAGTTGTATGGAAGCGAGTTTGCCTGTACATAAGGCTTGTTTGAACAGCCTTACCCTGGGGGCTGTGTGATGTGCCATGCAGTGATAGGACAGGCTCGTCCACTTAATTCTGTGACCTCTCTGTCACGTGACCCCTCTGTTTGCTCATCTGTAGGTAGGGTCTAATAAATGTTCCTAATGCATAGTCTTTGTGAGGATTAGATGAATTAACACATATAAACTCTACATATCATCTACATATATGTTTACAATAAATGTTAGCTACTGTTAACTATTATTTGAATTGAGGTAACATTTTAAAACATTTACTTTCCAGTAATTACCTAAGTTGTGTCAACTTAGGTAACTGAGTCGGTTATCGTCTCAGAGCCTTAGTTTACTCATCTATAAAATGGTGCTCAAGAAGCCAAACTGCTAAGATTGTAGCAAGGTTATGGCAAGTGGCCACAAGGCTTTGGGGGGACACGGAGCTGATGGTGTTCAGGTTTGTACCTCTAAAGCCTGGCACACTGGCTGGTGTATGTTAGGTATTCAAATCAGCGTTTGTTGAGCCAAATTCAAGGTGAGGCTCACAGGTCAAGGTAATCTCATCTCCAAGAGAGAGCTAAGTGTAGAGAAAAGACATAGGCTTGGAATCAGATAGAATTAGGTACAGCTTGCAGGCTCTAAACTTTCCCGGCTGCGTGACCTCAGAGAGGGCATTTAAACCCACAGGGCCCCATTTGATGGCTCCTTCTGCTCCTTGGCATTTAGGTCCAGAGATGCCTGCCCTTATCTTTGTGGCTTTCCTCCTGGGCCTCAAGGTGCTGCTAGTGTTAAGTACCACAGTGACCTACATCTACAGGAAGTAGAACCTGTTACAGGTGAGTTTGGGGTGGGCCTTAGGGAGGGAGGTCAGGGCCATGGTCATGGGCTGGAAAGAGGAGTCCAGGGTAAGCCCATCAAGTCACACGGTGCCCCCAAGGGTGATCCAGCCTCAGGAGAAGGTTGTGAACAGTCTTATTTCTTCCAAGTGACGGTTGGAATTCTCAGAGGCTTCTAACTCTATGTGTAGTGGCCTGGAGGTGGAAGGTTTTCAAGTTGCATTCCTTGGAGCCCTGAAGGTGGGGGTTCAAGGTGTGGGAGTGGGATGAATGTCAAGACCCGAGCTCCAGAGTCCCCCTGGTAAGTATATTTCAGTTTTCATATGATATATACTTGGTATGAATAAGGAAGGTATTGCTAAAATCAACTAATAGAACCTATCCAGGGGAGTTGGAGGTTCTGACTAGTGGCAAAGATGAATGTGGGTAGGGGAGCAAGTTCAGAACCCAGAAAGCGGCATTGGGGTGAAGCACGTAGGGGCTTCATTTCTGATCTGTGCCATGAACCCAGGCCAAGCAGAGTCTGCCACATACTAGGTGCTCAATAAATATTTGTGGAATTAATACATGAGGGAACAAACAAATGCACGAACGATCTTCTCCCTGCAGCTCCTGCATGCTCTGTGACGTTGCCTCGGCCCTCTCCAGGGGGCTCCTCGCCAAAGGGCTCAAGTAGGGTGAAGAGGCTGCAAAGACCTGGAGGTCACTCAGGACCCCTGCCCTTCACTCTGTCACTGCCACCCCACGGCAGGCACAGCGTCCTCCGCACACCCCCCTCACGTCCCTTCCGTCGGAGCTTTGGAACTGAGTCAGGGATGGACTTTGGTTACGCAGGATGCAAGGATGTCTCGACCCTGATATACAGAGCTGCAAATCGGCCCTGCCTCCACCCAAGACAGAATCAAGCGGGTCAAGAAAGGAAGTTTCCATCCTGCTCTTGATCATTAATACTCCTTAATTTTCAGAGCAGTTTTTACCTTATTCAGGGCTTTTGCAAGCCTGATTTCATTTTAACACATACATTTTGAAATCGCCAGTAAGTTGAGTAAGCATTTTTTTTCTTCTGAAATGGATTCAAAAGAATATTAAAAAATCCACGGATCTACCCTCCTATCTTTGCAAAATGGTAACATTTTGCTATTATGTTCTTCAGGTCCTTTTAAAAAACACTGTCCTGGCCGGGCATGGTGGCTCACACCTGTAATCCTAGCACGCTGGGAGGCCGAGGCTGGCAGATTGCTCGAGGTCAGGAGTTCGAAACCAGCCTGAGCGAGACCCCATCTCTACTAAAAATAGAAAGAAATTAATTGACCAACTAAAAAAATATATATACAAAAAATTAGCTGGGCATGGTGGCACATGCCTATAGTCCCAGCTACTCAGGAGGCTGAGGCAGTAGGATCACTTGAGCCCAGGAGTTTGAGGTTGCTGTGAGCTAGGCTGATGCCACGGCACTCACTCTAGCCTGGGCAACAAAGTGAGACTCTGTCTCAAAAACAAAACAAACCAAAACAACAGCAACAAAAAAACACTGTCCTGAATTTGGTGTTTATTGATCTCAAGCATGAATTTATCATTCTCAAGCATGATTTTATACTTTCACAATGTATGTATAAATCCTTAAGCAATGTCTATTACGACTTTGCATGTTTGGAACTTTATATAAACGCTATGATACTGCGCAGAGCACTCTGCAACTTTATTTTGTATGCTTAGCACAGTCCGTGGGATTTATTCATGTTGATGTATGGAGCTTCATTTTATTAATTTTCCACAGCTCTGTGGTCTTCTCTTGTGAGAATACATCACAATTTGATGAGTGATATTGAAGCTTTTATTCAGTGGTTCAGTACAACTTTGCAACAAACATTCTTATATTCGTTTCCTTGGGCTCACGCATGTGGGGGAGTCCCTCTTGCTACGGTGGTCCACAAATTTGCAGTGTTGGTGTCATTTCAGAGATTTTGTTATACAAAAAAAATTTTTTTCAATTTTTGCTCAAGTTTTCACCTTTCCATTTATGTTTTTAATCTAGCTATACTCTTCTAGTGTGTGTGTGTGTATTATAGGTGGTAGGGATCTTATCTTTTTTCTACAAGGATAAATTATTCAGCACTCTCTGATAAGCAGTGCCACCTTTGCTGTATATCAAGTGTCTATAAATCTGTGGTTCTTTTGATGAGCTCTTTGTTGCATTGATCTACCTGTCTCTCTGTCAATACAGGCCTACTTCGTTTTATTGCACTTCACAATGTTGCACTCCACAAATGCTGCGTTTTTTTTACAAATTGAAGGTTCGTGGCAACAAACAGCATCTGTTGGTGCCATTTTCCAACAGCAAGTGCTCATTCTGTGTCTCTGTACCACAAAACGTGGTGATTCCCACAGTATTGTAAACTTTTTCATGATTACTATCCCTGTTATGGTGATCAGTGATCTCTGGTGTTACTATTGTAATTGTGTTGGGGCAGCACAGGCTGTCCCCTATAAGATGGGTGCTTGGTAAATGGCCATTCCCCCACCTCTCTCCCTCTCCTCGGACATCCTTATTCCCTGAGACCAACCATATTAGAAATTAAGCCAATTAATAACCCTGCCATGGCCTCCAGGTGTTCAAGTGAAATGAAGAGTCACATGTCCCTCATTTTAAATCAAAATCTAGACGTGGTTAAGCTTTGTGAGGGAGGCATGTTGAAACCCAAGACACGCCAAAAGCTGGGCCTCTGAGACCAAACAGCCAAGCTGGGAATGTAAAGGAAAAGTTCTTCAAGGAAATTGAAAGCACTGTTCCAATGAACACATGAATGATAAGCAAAATAGCCTTATTGTTGACGTGGAGAAAGTTTTAGTGGTCTGAACAGTAGATCAAACCAGCTACAACATTCCCCCACAATATCTCTGAGGTGTTCCTATACTGTACTTTTTAGTTAAAATAGCTTTACTATAAGTTTTGATACCTCTTTTGGGCCACTTATCACACCATTTCTTGTTCAAAATGGTCATGCCTATTCTTGGCCCAAATACATTTTAGAATCATTTTGTCACGTTTCATGAAAAGCCCTTTTAGAAGTTATTACTTGATTGCATTGAATTCATATGTTAATTTGGGCAAATTGACAACTTTCCAATACTGTCTTCCCATTCATGGGCATGGTATACCTCTAATTATTTAGATTTTCTTTTGTAACTTTCAATTTGCAATTTTATAGTTTTCCCCCCATAATGGTCTTATGCATCCTCAGGTATTATTAAAGGCATTATTAAAGGCATCCTGCCTTTAACATTTCCTAGTTTATGGAATTTTTAAAAATTAAAGCAGAGAGTAGAGGTCACAGAGCCAAAAGTTTTAAAAAATTCAACATTTTGTGTGGAGTCATAGTTAAAAAACAATGACATAATGTAACTTTTAATGAGTGTTTTCTTTTACTTTCAAAGTGTTTTGATTTGTACAACAAATTATATATGCTCACTCTTTATACTTAAAAACATTAAAGCAGAGAAAGCTCCAGGAGGACCTAGCAGCCAAGAGAGACCCGAAGAGCCCAAACACCAAGCCTTATCTAAAAACCAAGAATAACTGCTTGAAGCTACTACCTTCTAAATCTACCCAGAAAGAATGTTACCAACCATGCCATTTTGCCTGTCAAAGCTACCAGGCTGATCAACATTAAACTCCAGCCCAGACTAGCCAATATTACAGAATCCCAGAAGTCAAAGTTGGAGCCACAAAAGCTGAGCAAAAGGCTAATTTTAAGATGTGTTTCTTCTAACCCAAACTATAAGCCTCCCAGCAATCATCAGTAGCAGCATGAGCTGGATCATCCGCTAAACGAGAAGTGCCAACAAAACCCATGGGGTCACTCAATGTATAGGATTTGCAAACCATAAAACAGCAGGTAACAGATCAAGGACATTGCTCTGTGGGCAATACCCATGTTGAAAATGAATCTTTGGGTAGCTTTCGAAGAGAAAACAAAGAGGACTTGCCTCACACCTTATTGGACTCTAAGAGGAAGCTAGATTCTGGTACATACAAATGCCAAAGAATTATTTATAATTGAATCAAGAGCAGTTTGATTCCTAAGCAAGCCCTAGGCAAAAGTTCAGTGAATGGTGTTCTGAAACAGAGAGTTAATAGAATTTGTTGGAGAAACACGAGTCAGGCTTCTACCAGTAAAATCACAGGGACTCTCTAGAGCAGATCTTGCAAGACCAGGAGAAAAATTGCCAAGGACAGTTTCCTCTCACTTTGTTCAGACCCTTAGTAGGACTCAAGCATCAATCAATCAATCAATCAATAAAACAGAGGTCAAGATATAAAGGTTGCAGGGTTAAATATGAAAGAACACGTATAAGTTACAGTCACACCTTCCTACTGAACAGAAAGTAAAACATACCAAGGAAGGACACACCCAGATTTGCTTCAGGGAGGATGTAACAACAGACATATAAATATTAAGCAAGATCAGTGGTCCACTCAGCCTTGTTTTAGACCTTAATAATCATGTGTAGGCCGGGCGCGGTGGCTCACACCTGTAATCCTAGCACTCTGGGAGGCTGAGGCAGAAGGATCGATTGAGGTCAGGAGTTTGAGACCAGCCTGAGCAAGAGTGAGACCCCATCTCTACTAAAAATATAAAGAAATTAGCTGGACAACTAAAAATATATATATATAAAATTTAGCTGGGCTTGGTGGCACATGCCTGTAGTCCCAGCTACTTGGGAGGCTGAGGCAGGAGGATCGCTTAAGCCCAGGAGTTTGAGGTTGCTGTGAGCTAGGCTGATGCCACAGCACTCTAGCCGAGGCAAGAGAGCCAGACTCTGTCTCAAAAATAAATAAATAAATAGTCATGTGTATTGCAAAAATCAGAAGCCATAAGCTTTCTTGCCAAGCCTAGTTTGACAGTTGGCAGCTTTAATTCAGTCATTCCAAGCACCCCTAGCGTAAGACCAAATGGAACCAATGGGGATAAATGCCACCATAGCCTTCCACAAAATCATGGATATTAGAGTCCAAGTTGAAAAAGGCTCTTTCCCAGAACCATTTTCTGAACAAGACAGCTCCCAAAACTCAAACTGGTGACACAATCAAAAATGGAAAAGGAGTCCCCAAAGGGTCCCAAACTAACCCAAATATTAACAAGAAGACAACAGAGGATCAAAGGGAACAACTGGAAGAGCAGCAGGAATCTAAGGGGAAAATCTATAAATGGCCTCCTATGAGACTTAAAACAACAATAAAAAAATAATAAAGGAAATGAATATTTCATTCTGGAAGGGCATTAAAGAAGAAGAGAAGAAAGCACAACTTGAACTGCCCGATAAGATTAACAACGCCCTGACGGAACGTCTGCAGATCGTTGAAAGGGGTGTACTTTCTAATGAAATATTTACCATATTTCCCATTATTTCTGAGGCTGAAAAATTTGCTAACTTCCAGATTTACAAAGCAAAGTTGTTACCTAGTAAAGGCACCTATAATGTTATGGGGCTATATGAAAAGGCCATTGAAGAAGGTGCCACGGCAACCCAAGTGTCGCAGGAAGTTGTTCTTAATATTTTGCAAGACCCAACAGAACAATGGAAGGAGTTACTTTTGACTCTGTAGTTGCAGAAACTAATATAACATCAGCAGAAGAGCTGGCCAATAAGATGGAATCTGGGGAGTCTGTCTTTCTCCAAAAAGGAGGGAACAGTTTACAGCAACACCCCAAATAACGAAGGCAAAACAGGATAATCATCTTGACATCCAGTTACAGACCGCCCCATCCCTAGAATAAATGGAAGACATGAAGCTCATCACTCCTGTATGATGTGCAGTGGAAGTCGAGCGAGCAGTGTCCCGCTACCCAGAAATGCTGCAGGAACGTGATTTAATGGTGGCTCCTCCCAGTGAGCTATTAGGAGTGGAAGGAACAGAATATTTTATATTCCGTAAAAATGAGGCTTTGCCAATAACATTAGGGTTTCCAATCCTTGAATCATAATTTCTTGAAGATTTTTTTTATATATAGAAGGTGTTTCAGACTTTTCATGAGACAAGAAATGCCCTTGTCCAGGTGACCTGGAAAAAAAATGGATAATGGAGAGCCATCATGGGTGCAGATTATGGACTCTCAGGATTTAGGGAGTAATTCACAGGGCTTA